TTTCTTTCTTTCTTTCTTTCTTTCTTTCTTTCTTTCTTTCTTTCTTTTTTCTTTTTCTTTCTTTCTTTCTTTCTTTCTTTCTTCTTTCTTTCTTTCTCTTTCTTTTCTTTCTTTTTCTTTCTTTCTTTTTCTTTCTTTCTTCTTTCTTTTCTTTCTTTTTCTTTCTTTCTTTTCTTTTCCTTTCTTTTTTCTTTTCTTTTCTTCCTTTCCTTTCCTTTCTTTCTTTCTTCCTTTCCTTTCCTTTTCTTTTTCTTTCTTCCTTTCCTTTCCTTTTCTTTTTTTTCTTTTCTTCTTCTTTTATTGGGCGCCTGCGTGGCTCAGTTGGTTAAACGACTGCCTTCGGCTCAGGTCATGATCCTGGAGTCCCGGCTCCCTGCTCGGCGGGGGCTTTGCTTCTCCCTCTGACCCTCTTCCCTCTCATGCTCTCTGTCTCTCATTCTCTCTCAAATAAATAAAATCTTTAATTTTTATTTATTTATTTATTTGACACACAGAGAGAGAGCACAAGCAGGGGGAACAACAGAGGGAGAGGGAGAAGCAGGCTCTCTGCTGAGCAGGGAGCCTGATGTGGGGCTCGATCCCAGGACCCCGGGATCATGACCTGAGCCAAGGCAGATGCTCAACCAACTAAGCCACCCAGGTGCCCCTGTGTATGAGCTTTTGTATGAGTCTGAAGTGGGTGAAGTCCAGGTATGGAGCTTTGTGCTTGAGACCAGGAAGGAGTCTGAGTTTTTGGTTTCGAGTCCACTCACCCAGTATTTGTTGGGCACCTACTATATCCCGGGCACTGAGGAAAAAAAGCAGTGAGCAAAGCCAAGTGCCTGCCTTCAGGGTGCTTACATTCTTGTTCTCGCCTCAATCTAGACTCTGCTGCGACCACCTCCGGCAAGTGACTTCATTCCCAAGCCTCAGTTTCTCATCTGTGAACATGGACTGTGAAAAAACAATGCTCTCCCCCACCAGGAAGGAAGCGGACCGGCGGTGACGACAGGAGGCTCTAGCCTGGGTCCTGCTGATTAAGTCGGGGCTGGGAAGCCGGTTTGCCCCCCACCAAGAGTCGTTGGGAGAGCGCCCGGGCGGCTGAAGCCGTGCACGCGTTTGATTGACAAGCTCGCGTGTTTCGGGGCGTGGTCGCGCTCGGAAACGCCGCCGTGTAGTCACAAAACCCCCGGAATCTCCGCGAGAATTCCGACCTTACTTTCCCTTCCCCCCGCCCTTGACGCCTTGGTTTCGAAACCCCGCCTCCCCTCGTGATGTTATTACGCGCGGCCACGTAGGCCTATAAAAGCCTTGCGGGCCGACGCTGTTCCCTGCCTTGCTGTGGATCACTCACGCCGACGAGAAGAAACCCGCCTCCCTTCGCCGCGACGGTGCTTGCAGCAGCAGCTGATAACCCGAGTCCCCGAGCCCGGCACCGGAGGGCGAGATGAACGCGCTGGCCTCCCGAGCCGTCCAGATCTGCGATCGCTGGTGGCAACCCGAGCCGGCGCTCTTGCCCCCCGGGTGACGCGCAGCCCCTAGTCGGTGAGTGAGGGGTCCGAACGCCTGGGCCCCCCAGCAGCTTGGGGGCCGGGGACCAGACTCCTGGTCAGTGAGGACGGAGTTTGCCCTTCTGGGTACCGAGACAGGAGGGTTTGAGGCCGAGACCCCTGGGTCCTGAGGAACGAGGGTCTGGGAGCCCGGACTCCTGTGTCTGGGGAGAGGTGGGACCAGGGCGCACTCCAGGGCCCGGACTTGGGAAGGAGAAGAAATTGGGAGCCTGAGCCTGGCGAGAGGAGGGTTCTGGAAGCCAGACTCATGGATCCCCAGTGGAATGGATGGAACCCCGCTGGGGTCGCGACTTTTGGGTCTCAGGGGTACGAGGGTGATGAGGGCCTGATTTGTGGATCCTCAGGAAGATGAGAGAAACAGGAGCTAGGACTTTGTCCCCAAGGGAAGCAAGTAGAGGACCTGTATTCTCAGTTCTGGGGGCTTCTGGGTCTGAGAGAAGAGACTGGGGGCTCAGACTCCTGGGTATTGAGAGGAGAGAGGTGGGAACCACACTGTGCCTCTGCTGGAGATGGGAGTGGCAGGGATCAGCAAGGAATGTGGGGCAGGGACTCTCTCGTTGCTGTTTGTGTTACTATTTCCGTTGCTATGACTCACAATCATCCCTTGATGCTCTCCCTTACTTGGCTTCTAAACTCTATTTCCTTTTGTTTATTTCCAACCCAGACAGATGGCACCAGGCCAAGTGCCCCATCAGCCTGCCCCCTGGAGGGATAGCTATCCCTTTTACCTCCTGTCCCCGCTGATGGGCCTTCTCAGCAGGGCCTGGAGCCACCTGAGCGGCCCAGGACCTCCAGACCCCTGGCTGTTGGAAGCAGTAACCGGAACTGATCAGGGAGAAGCTGGCCTGGGGGGAGAAGCTAAGACATTTCCGGCCACTTGGCATGCCCCCTGGGGCAGGCACTTTCAAGGGGGGATCGGAGACGGTGGAGCAGCTGAGGAGGATGAAGTGTTCTGGGAGGCCTGCCATGACCTAAAAGCCAGCAGTTCTCCTCTTGAAGCCTGGGAGCTTTCAGGGGATGATGAAGAGTATGGTGGGGAACAAGCAACCAGTGTCCCTAAAGAGCAGGGAAGTGAATTTATAGATGGCCAGCCTGCTTCCTTGTCCCCCAGCCTTCTGATAAGAGCCCTGCAAGAACCTCCTGGAGAGGAGAAATCTGAGGAAGGAGGAGCTGCTGAAGATGAAGTGGTCACGTTCTTCTCTTTTCCTCCATCACGCTCACCAGGGGAGGAGGAGGAGGAGGCGGAGGAGGAGGCGGGAGAAGCTATAAACAGAGAAGCTGCCAGAAGCCCTACTGCCCCTTTATCTCCAGGATCCAAGCCCAAAGCTTGGGTGTACTGTGCTGGGGAGGAAGAGGATCAAGCCACAGAGGAAAAAAGAACAGAGAATAAAGAAGTCATAAAGAACTCCGTTTCCCCCTCATTTTCAGACTTTCACCCCAGGGCCTGGGAGTGTTGCTCAGGAGAGGAATCTGAGGAGGAGGAAGATGAATTCAGTGATTGGGGAGCAGC